GTATGCTCCCCTGTGTTCCATGTCTGGATGGGTAGCCGAACATGTGGGGACAGAGGCTGTGTGGAAAGCTGTCTCGTGAAGCTCTGTATTCATCTGGGAAGACTACAGTGGGGCCCGGAGTCCTCTGGTTGTCCTGCTCTCCCATCAATCCTGGGGGTGGTCTTCGACCTGACCCTCTGTCTTGCATTTTCAGGATCTCAGAGAAGCCTCCCAACCACTCACCACCTGTATCTCTTTTAGGTGCTCCCTCCAGGCAGTGAGCAAGTGATAGCAGGCAGAAAGCTCATGCAGAGTCTCCCTAGCGTGGAGGATGTGAAGATGGCCCTGGAGCTGTATAAATTGTCTTTGGAGATTGAACTCCTGGAACAGCAGAGAGACAAGGCAAAGAAATCCACTGTGGAATCACCACTCTGATTTTTCCCAGAAGGTGCCCTGCTGCCTTCCATTCAATATGGTCACTTTAGTTTACAACTCTGCCATTCTTTTGCATTGTAATGAATACCTAAAAATGGTAATTTTTTTTAATTTTGCTAGCGCTCTGAGATTATAGAATTGTTGATAATCTTGTGGCTCACATTTTTGCTTTTTTGGACACAAATTGCACATTTTTCCATTAAAAATATACTTATAGAGGACAATTTTGTGTTTGTGGTCATTGAGGCTCTGTGAAATGTGGTCCATATACAGACCCCAAAAGGTATTTTCATAAAGTTACTACATTAATTGTATTGTATGGGTCTTGCTTATAGACTTGGGTTCCCGTCAGTTATATTTCCCTGGATTCCCTCACTCCATGTTCCCCATGCCCAAATCACCAGGTCCTCAGGATGTACATTAAATGTCAACACGCCCCAAACGTCTTGTCCACTCTCTCCTATTGGCGGAGAGTTGCACCCTTTCTAAACCCCCAAGTGCTTGCGCTCTGACTTGCTAAGGCTGCCTCTTGACTTCATCTTATGTGAAGGGCATTTATATGTGTCTGACCCACTTATTTCATCCTCAGAGATCAAATTCTGAAAGCTCAGTGAATGTGAAGCCCACGTGGCAGCCCCCTGTGCATTCGCAAGTCCTCCTTCTGATCTGGTTCTCATTTTCTCTAATAGACAAATAAAAAGCCTTGAGAAACTATCCCACACACAAGAAGAAAACC